AATTCCACTAACTCTTCCAGCCACCCTCTCACCACCGGGAAAACGCCAACACTTTTCCAGCTGGGCACACAAGAGTGCATTAACCTCATCGGGAATAACCAAGGAGGGGAGAAGGAAACACAAACTACCTTTACAGATTCGTGTGGTCGCACACAACCGAGCGGGGCCGTGCCTCTCTGTGTGTCAGAGGTAATTCGGCACAGCCCCTTCATGGTGAATTTAATACACAAGGAAACAGAAGGAAATGAGAACTCGTGGATGGGGGAGGCAGGAGGAGACAGGCGAAGCGCGTGGTTGTGTTTCGCATCGCCCTTAACACTGAAATACTCAGGGGAGGGGGACAGAGGGGGCATCCGTCCCCCCAGTAAACAAGTTGAGGACCTCCAGAGCCAGGCTGAAGGTGTGTAAGTACACGTGTGTGATGGTAGATAGAAAAGCAGCCCTGTTCGGTATGAAAGAAAGCTGTCAAGTTAGTACAAATTGCTGCCACGGCAAAGGGAAGAGGAGGAGGAAGCGGTCAGGGTCCTTCTCCCGGCACAGAATCCCGACTCTCCTGCACAAAGGCTCGGGAATAAGCAGTATCCTGGCTAAGCAACACTTTATCAAAGGTGGTACCTGCAACCCAACGCACCCAACTCGCGAAAACAAACTCCCCATCAAGCTCGGAGAGCGGAGCGCGGACCGAGCCCACCCTCTGCTCCAGGGACCGCAGCGAGGAAGCCTGTCCCCCACCTCACAGTGGGAATACACAATGGTAGGGTTAATTCTGCCATTAGAAGCCTCCAGCAGCTCCATCTCCTTCCCCTCCTCAAAGCTGTTTGCTCCCTGTCCCCATCCACGCACCCGGCGGGTACCACTCTCAACCAGAGGACACTCGTTCATCCAACACTAGGAGTGTATCTGAACCACAGGCCAGCGACACCCCACTCCCTCCAATCCAAGCACTAAAGTAGGCTCTTTAAAATAAGACAAATATATATTTATATAGCTATACAGAGAGAGACAGAGAAAGCAAAGGAGAGGGGAGAGACTACCAAAAAGAATCAAGAAGCGCCAGTTTTCTGCTACAGCTGTCAGCAAAGAACTGTCACCTTACATCAGACCCTGCAGGGTGGTGAAGAGAATGCAGGCAATGACAGCACAGGAATGCAAAAGAGGGCAGATAAGTCACTTCTGGTAATGAGACACAAATTAAACTTTCTAAACATGTGCATAGCTTTATTCATCTGCTTCAAACTAACCTTTTCACGGAGCTTCGGCGAAGCCCCAGTGTGCAAAATGCATCTCTAGAAAATAATGCAAGCAAGCTTTTCACATTTACAGTGGCAGGGGCCCAGCCACACGTTGGGGTGAGCTGGGAGAGAGATGAAGGAACAAGGAATTGCACAGCTTCGTATTCAGAGTCACTGACTGCAAACAGAAGCGTTCCTATTTTGTTACCTTTAAGCAAAGCGTGTTTAATTCTGCTTTACAACAAAAAATGTAAGAGAAAAACCCCACAGTAACAAGAACCACAACCTGGAAGGGAATAAACCCCTGGATAACGGGATCACCGGTGCTGCAGAGCCCTAACTCAAGCACAAAGCCAGTTGCAGACCATCACTGGTCTGGCTTTGCAGGCAGAGCGTGGCAATGCTTGGTTTTGACCGCATGAGAACAGCAAAGCAGCTTCTTTCTCTGCCCCCTCCAAAATCACAGGTGCCACCCCACAGGACATCACCCCCAAACCATAAGCCAGCCACTATGCAGACTCAAGCCCAAGTTCATCAATCCAATGGGACAGCAAGGAACTGTAGACGGGGCCCAACCGTCCCAGCAGCTGACACACCACTACCAACTCCCTTCAGAAGGACTAAGCACTCGTGCAAGGCACATTTAGTCAGATGGACACACAAACAAACACATCTAAAACAACAACTGCTAGCCAAAAAGAACTAATGTACGCTGAATAAACTAAATTAAAGAGGCAGAGAGTTCTAGCCTATGTATTGATATACTATTTTCCAAGCAGACATAATCCCCAAGCGTTTTTCCTACACAACTTCAGACCTTTCTCATTCTTTCCTCACTTTAGAGGTACTATTTTTGCTAAAGGATCTTCTATAAATAGTCAAGTAAATTCCCTTTTCCCCCTCCAATGAACTCCTCCTGCAGGGCTGCATCCCTCCACGGTGGTCCAGGTCTGACCCATGAAGACAAGAAGTTCTTGGGGTTCAGTGGGGCAAGACCTCCCTCCAGTCCTCCTTCACACCCCAGCCATCAGGTTTTGTCTGGGTAGATGGCCTTCTTCCTTGGGAAACATCCCAACTCTGGGCACCAATCACTCTGCAGCACCCAGAGAAGGAGCCTGTGACTCTGGAATGCTGGGGGTGCAGGCAGGAAAGAGGCCACACAATCTTTAATACTGCTGGTTAACTTCACATTGAGACAAAGCATTAAGAAGATCTTTTTGGAGAGATGAGCAATTTCCTTCCATAGAGAGATTCAGCCAGAATTAAAACCAGAGACATGACATTGATTGAGATTTTTCTACCTCACAAGTTACTCAGGCACCTTTCCCACACCACCAGCTAGGCAGGCAGGCAGAAGCTGAAAACCTCAGGGATTTGCACTACCTTTTCCAATAGCAGCTTGAGAAAAGGAAGGAGAGAAAAAGCAACAACAACAAAAGGAAAATGCACAGTGTTCTCTCAAGTTAAGAGTTCTCCTTTCTTGCATTTGCATAGAAGTTCCCATAGGTCAGCACCAAAGTCAGGTAGACCCCTCTCCTGGACCCCACTCCTATGCTACCCACAGTTAGTGGCTGTGTTACACCAGGGTTTAACTCCTTGCAGAGGAACTACATGGTCATGTAAAAGAAAAACAACAAAAGTGCATCACACATTCTTGATTTTCAGGGTTACTTATAGCAGCAGCAGCATTAATCCAAGACAATGAACAGTTGTAGATTCGTCCTTAAATGCAGCAACACTTAATGAAATGTCTCCAAGGAAGGTCTTAAAAGGGTCCTTCTCGAATGGTTAAAATGAAAATTAGACTATTCAATAGAGACAAAAAGGAGATAAAACAAAAATTAAACACACCATCTTATTTACATTAAAAAAAAAAAGAACCCAAACAACATTCTTGTTAAGATATCTTTACAACACCTAAGCAAAAAAAATAGGTCTTTTAAGAATAAAGCAGAAACTCCTAAAGCAGTATCCATTTTTGGAACCCTTATTTAGCACCTGAGGAAAGACCGTATGGAAAGCAGACAGGTTTTTTTTTGTTGGTTTTGTTTGTTTTGTAAGAAAACTGTAAGTTGTGGGTTTATGTTCGCAGCACACAAGTTTCATACCACAGAAAGAAATGAACTATTTTTTTCTCCTTTTAAAAGATACTCTACTCATCAATAAGGCTGTAGAAAAGGGATACTGCTATCTTACAACATGGCTTTAGAGCTCTGGACGTGTTAGATGATGCTTTCTGATTAACAGTCAAGATGAACACAGCTCAGCATCCCCAGGTGAAAGCAAAGGGATCACTATTGCTCCTGTCCTGGGACAGAGAGCAGCATGCCAAGAGGGTCTCATGTCCTCAACACAAGGCCACCGTGGAGCTCTCTGCTACCTCCCCACACATCTGCTTCCAAGGCTCTGGA